TATCGTACTCGACGTATTATGCTCATCTTTAAAATCCATTCGTTTTTGATGAACAACTTTGAAAAATTTAAAGCGTAAGGAGAAATGGAGAAGGGGAAGGGGGGAAAAAAACTATTGACACAATCATCGGGTTATTTTGTGTTTAACCTAGCAAACAAATGCAGTGACCACCTCCTATTTTCCAAATTTGTTGTAGTTTGTAAATCTTTTTATTCTAATTTTTTTCAAAGTTTTTTTTGCATTTAGTTGTTATGACTATTGATAAGAAATTTTATAGGATTATGTATTAATTTATTTTTTTTGTTATATCTTTATCAGCATAGTCAGTGGATAATAGCGGTTACTTTCTGTACTGTTTTTTTTTTCTGCCTTATTGTTGAGCGGTTATTTGTTGGTGTCTCATAACAAATACAGCCGTAATAAAGACAGTTTCTTTTTTACCTGCAACACTTTATGCATATCATTAGTGTTGTTTGTTTAATTATTTATTTATTTTTTCGCCCTTTTTTTTTCGCCTTTCGTTATCAATTCTCTGAATGTTTTGTTGACAAACAGTAACAGTTCTTGGTTGCCGACAAAAACAAAAAAAACCGGGTAAATTTGATTGGCTATTTTTTGATGTACTTTTCTCAAATTTTTTCTGATGTGATTTCTATGCCAAGAAGTACTATTTAGGGAAAGAAAAACCGGGAGAGCTATTTTTTTCTCATACTTTTTTCTAAACAGTCGATCTTAAATGGAAAAAAGTTATTTTAGGTAGAGGGTGGAAGGTAACGAAGGTAGAGGGGGAGAGGATGTGAAAGGGGAGAGAGGGGAAAAAATGGAAATTCATTTCGTATCAATGCCAAAGAATAAGCTCAGCAAATAACTTGTTCATTTTTCTCTAGAAAACATAAAAGGGTTCAGTTTTTTTTTCGTTTTGGCCGTCAACAAATCCTTAGCGGAAACCGGTTTTTGTCTAGCAACAACAGAAACGTCTAGATTTGGGAAGTCAGAAGAATCAACGAAACTTACTACTACTATACGTACTTGGTCGATTGATACTGTCTGGGTTGAGCCCAATTTTTTTGCTTGTTGCTTCTCATGGCTTTACTGTTCCTATACCAGTTTTTTTAGTCTTTATTCCTACTTTCAACCACCAACTATTCATCATCACCCACCTCTCAACATTAGTGTTAGTTGAAGTAGTAGTTATATTTGTTGGGGTTGTCGACAGGAAAGGAAGAGACAGCTTGTTCAGTTTGTTTTGGAAAGCAAAGGCAAAAGCGTCAACAGCAACAGCAGGAACAGCATCAGGAACAGTATCAGAAGCTTCAGCAAATCAACGTTGTTATTGCTTACTTTATCGGCTGTTGTTTTGTGTAACTGATTCCGGTTAGTTAATTTTTTTTCTGTGAATTCTACAAGAAAATTTAGTGATCCGTTACATGAAAATATTTTTCCTTTTACTACACTTCTGTTTTGTTTAACACTTTTCTTTTCTTTTCTACATCTGAGTACATATGTTTTGTTTTTTTTTTTTTTTTTACTTTTCTTGACTGTTTTTAGAATTTTTTGGATGTTTGGACAATAAATTTTTCTGTCTATCTTTATTTACTCAGATGTATCATCATCGGTCCAGTGATATTTTTCGTCTTCCAGCTTGAAAACTGATGATCAGTAAATAACAGGAGTTATCATTTTTTGATTAATACTGTTGGGCTGTATTTGGCGGTGATAGTCAAAAATTTTTTCCTTCTGTTCTTATTTATTTATACAGTTTTTTGACATGAATAAAAATAGATTTGATTGGAAGGTGGGAAAAATTTGATTTTTCTATTTTTTTTTTACTAATTGTTGTATAAACGAAGATGAAGTATATGAGGCGGAATTTTTTGTTAATTTAGAACAAAAGATAGCACTACTGCAGTTATTTTCGGTTTACACAGTTTTTGTTACATAGAGTAAACGATGATTTCTGATGTTTTTAAATGTTGTGGTCAGGAAGCAGAAAACGTCATAGTGTTTACTACTCCCTGCTACTTGTATATTACGTGTTTTACTGAATGAGAGCACTACTCTTTAATTAGACAATGACTGATAAGGCAACTAACTGGTGGACGACGATGGTGTTAATGGTTCGACCGAAGAAAAAGGAAGGAAAGAGTGCATGCATGTATGTATGTGTCTGAATCTGTGTGTGCCTATGTCTGTGTGTGTATGCGTATGTGTTTCCGTGTGTCTGTGTGTCCGTATGCGTATAATGATATGATCGTTGTTTTCGGATCTGTGGTATTTGACTGCCGTTGTTGGTGCTCTCAACAAATATCATCCTTCCTCCCCCCCTCATTTTTGGGAGCTGTATAGGCTGGTACGAGGCACATTCCCTTGCGGTCAAGGGACATAGATTTTTTTTTTAGTTACAACCGTACCGAAGCAGCCGACTAAATGAGTGAATGAATGAGTGACTGGGTGAATGAGTGACTGAATGTGTTAATAAAATGATGGAGTGAGTAGGTTTGATGGCACAATATTATTATTATTAATATTATTATTATTGTTATTATCACTATTATTATTTGTTACGGTGGTTAATTTATTTGTTACATCATTTTAACTGAAAGTGACCATGCAGACCAGTCACTTAGACCAATTGACCGGTTCAAAAACACAATAAAATATTACCTGCTCCTCTCCTCTTTTCCATTCACTACCAGTTTTGCCGTTTTTTGGCTGATTTCATTTTTCTCCATAATTTCTACCCTCTCCTTTCTCTTCTTTTTTTTATTTTATTCGTTTGCCTATAATGTTATTTTCATTTTTGGTTATTTTTTTTTTTGAATGACTAAGCAGTAAAAAAGGCTTTTAAAGTTGTTTTTAGATCGAAGTTGTGCTAGTCGTTGGATACGATAAAGGAATTAATGTGAAAAAGTTTATTTTATTTTTTATTTCTTGTTGTTTTTTCATTCTTTCCAACTATTTCTGTCTCTCTGCCTCTCTTCAACTAATGGATCAAGCAATCTGAATTGCCATAATACTGAAAAGTCGTTCGGATACCGTTTCTTTTTCTTTCCTAATCTTCTCCTTCTTTTTTCAGTATTTTTTTTTCTGCTTAACTTTTGCTTGGAAAACCGGCATATTCAATTGGAGGTTGTAGTGATTGTTATTGGGCAGTACACTTATTTTCAACAATGTCTTCGTCGCTGTCATCGTCGTCGTCGTCGTCGTCGTCGTTGCCGTCATCATAGTCGTCGCTGCCACCATTGTTATTGCTGTTGCTGTCGTTGTTGTTGTTGTTGTCGTCGTCGTCATTGTTGTCATTATTACTGTACTTGTAGATAGACGAAGGCAAAACGAACTGAGGAAGAAACGGATGTTTTTTTCTTGTTGTCAACCATGACTCCTTCTGAAGAGTTCCTGCATTAGAGCAGGATTTTAGGCCAACCAGCAAGCAACGGCACCAACTACAACACCAATACACCAAAAAACCAAAAAGGGTACATGCACGGAAAAAATGACTACTCTTTTTTTGTTCAACTAAGCAAATTTTTTGATCAAAAAAAAAAAAAAAAAAAAAAAAAAAAAAA